ACTCAGGAGGTTACTTGAGCCGCCAAATAGATACTCAACTCTCCATTGAGTAATACCACACACCGTACTCCCTGCCATCGAAGACGATCGATTCGTTATCCGCGTTTCAGAAGACTGCATACAACATCACATTAGACTTGCAGCAGACGGAGTCGCCTCTTGCAGCATGACATACGGCGGTTAGAGCAACATGGGAGACACAATGGATGAACACCAAAAGCTAGCCAGGTGGCGAAGGACCAAATCCGAGGGAGAACGTGGTGGGTGAGATTGGATTTTTGGACACATCCACGCCAGCTTTCCGATCACCGAGACCACTAGCTTTCTCTCATATAGCTTAGAAAGAGCTCTCGTCAAAGCTTCATACCAGCAGTCCTCCACGATTTGCGATCGAGACGGATCCCAGAAGCTATTTCTCAGGAAATGTGCCATATTCATCAGACAAAGAGAAATATATTCAGAAGAACCGAGGCGAATACATAAGGCTCACTGGTCTTCCCGTCTCATACCTCTTTTACAGTATAAAGTACAATCGTCAACACGAAAGCGATGGGATAAATAGATGGCATAGAAGTCGCAGTGCCAAACGAGTAAAAGTGGTGGCGGAACTACAAACTCGAAAGACCATCCAAGAAGGGGCAGAAGCACTTGAATCAATCCTCCCAAATCCGACTCAACAAAATTCGAACTCATCCACTTCACTCGCTGGCCCCAAAGACATAAGAATTTCGATACGGGATAGTGGATAGCGCGTAAAAAGAGCGACACGCACAAATATGCCATCCCCTCAATATGAAATAGCAGTTTGAGAGGATTTCAAGAACAGTATTAAGGATTTGGATTATTGTGGGCAGTTAAAGAGGCAGATGCAACAACAAAAATAATAGCACTAACCCCTAATCACAAGCTAATGCAAAATCACAGAAGACTAAGGTAACACATATCAGCGATCATAACAAAACTTTGAACAAAGGAAATAGCTCTTCGGGCCACCCATTCCAAAGCAAAGCTGCGGATTCATCACTGTTCTGTCTTTATCAGGAAGGTTTCCAGACGATCTAGGGCATAGTCACAACATGCAGAGAAATGCAAGGAGAGAACTAGACTATACGACGAATCCTCAACAGGATGACTCCACGATCATCATGCAGAATTATACGCACAACAAGAAAGCCACAAAGCTACTAGTACGGCCTCCCCTACTAGGTCGATTTAGCTACATATGAGAGGTTCTGGGCAAGATGTAGGTGAATTAGATCAGGTATGTGTAATACCCACAAGCCATCGATACGGCGAACTGGTTGGTGAGAAATTTTATCTACGACGGGAGTTTTGTCTTTTAGGTTGAGGGAGAATCGTAGGCCTTTAGATTAGTTAGCTCCGGTCTGGTCGGGGAATACACTGTTGCGGTTATTAAACTAGTGGAGAACGTTCCTTTTAGATATATAATCGCTGATGCCAGCATGGTGTTGCCATTCCTAGTGTACATAGTTAGTTTCTGACATCAATTTCCCGGGGGTGAAATCAGTTACGAAATTTGCCTCGTCAGGAACTATGAAATCATTTTGTCCTCCTGTGTCACTATTCTCAATCTTCATTGAATTTCACAAGCACTATCGAGATATTAAAGGGTCCAGTAATGATGAATGACTCATGGAGATCGGCAAAACATGCAACGTTGGTCGAATTATCAGTAGTAATGATATCCAATTTCTGACAGATTGTGGTAATTGGTGTATAGGTATCGTCGAGTATAGTGACATTCCCATATCCATGACCAATATCCGAAACAAAGCCTTGCCAGTATGTCAACACAGGTTTGCCTATCTATTCGTGGGCCATAAAATTTGTGGTAATGATAGGAGTATCCAAAGCATCTTTGATTAAAGTCTATGGGCCCTGCCAAACAGGTTGTCCATATGCATCCTCGGTGAAAATGTCACAAAAGTAGCTTGAACAGCTCCACGGTGGAGATGTGGTCTCGTGATCCGAATTGTTCAGGTTCTCGAGAACTGGGTAACTTCCATGGCACCAGTAGGTTCAGTACCGTATTTCGAAAGATTAATATCCCATTGCCGTTAGCATAGATTCTTTTTCGCAGACATGCAGTTGACATGGAATCAGACTGGTGGCATGTCGTACCACCTTGCGTAGCCCTCTACGATTATGCGGCACATCGGGAGGAAGAGGAAATAAGCCTAAGAGTTTTCGTATCAGTGGAGGTATTATGAAGGTGAGAAGTTGGATATTTGTCTACCCGAACAACTAGAAGGCTCGGGCTAGAGTAGCATCATACCTAGTACCTCGTACTCATCCGAACTTTCAATTCTTCCGGAGCGCGCTAAACTTGCGTAAGTAGATTCCCTATAGGTAAACAAATAGACACCTCATAACAACTTCTTTTCTATCACCACATTTTTTTCTTCCAACCACCACTTCCGCTTCCACTTCAACCTTAATTCCTAATACCTTTAAGTCCCGTTCGATCTATGATATATGAAGGCAGACCTCTTTGATGTCTTCAAATATTTTGGTTGAACGGGACTTGATGATGACCTCTGGGCGATAATTCCATTTCTCTCGTCGCTTTCCTTCTGGCTATTTCTGTTTACTTCAAGGACATACCCCCGCGACAATTCTTTCCCATATAACTTTTCTTGTAACCACCACTTATACTTCCAGTTTTGAATATCTTCGGATTTCGTTCGATCTAAGATACAGAAAGACAAAAGCTACCCATCGTCTTCGAGTATCTTGCCCGTTTCCGTTTATTTCAACGTCTCTTTCGCGAAGCCTCCTTTCCACCTCTGCACCTTCTTACTTTCAATCATTCGACTGAAACCGAACTTTTGACGTTCAAAATTCTGAATCATTCATGAAAATGGCTTCCCCAAGCCCGTCATACTAAGCTATCCAACAAATTCAATAACTTCTGAAGAATTTGTTTTATCGCTTCTTATGCAGTTGCGGAGGATAAACATAGCCTTGATTAGAATCTAGCAATTACCAAAGTCAACGGGACATTAAGTCGATGCATTAGAATTCGTTGAGGGTGGTGAAGTTTAAAACAACATGTCAATTTTAAAGCGACTCCTTTGACCACTTTCAACACCAGCACTTTCCTGTGGGTGTCATCTCTCTCCGGGACCTGGGCCAGAAAATGAAAGTAGGTACCACAACTCTATGCCTCGATTATTAATACAGCCATAAATACCAACCAATTTTATAGTTTCCTTGGAAGAAAGACTCGTGTCCAACTATTCGCTATCTATACAAGTGTTTGCGTCACATCCAACTCCATAAATCAGGACCTTTTGATATATGTTGGGGGTGAAGGTATTTTTGTGGTGATAGCTTTCAGGGAACAAGCTCGTATCGATCTTAAATTGTAAGTTTATTGCGAACTGACAGTTTACTCCACGTATGCTAATATATTCAAATTGAAGAATGCAGAGAGACGATTCAGGAAATGGTCAAAACTACTGCAACTGACCATGGCAGCAATTCCAATATCTTCAAAGTTCAAACCGATGGACCTTCTGTATGACTATGATTGAATCCAGTGCGTTTTTGAAGTAGTTCCAAGTACAGATAATACTCTCTAATGTCATTTTTGCCATACATCTGTTAGACAAATTCTATACTTTCAATTTTCCCCCACTGCTTACTCACTCAGCTCTGTATAAAAGCTCTATATGTCTCGGGATTGTAATCACATCATATTTATACGACACGATGAGTAAAAACTCTCACATCCCTACGATTTTCCTACACGTCTACTCACTGCATAGACCCCATCGATGTAGCAATCCCCAAGGTAAACTACTCAATAGAAGTAAATCTATCTCAGGTACATTTATAGTTATACCTTGCTACTCACCAAAGATGGATTGTCGTCCCTGGTTAAGAACCTATCAGCATTTCGAAGGTGTATTGGCATGGGTAGCAAGATTTTTAGGGTTTTTCGTGATTAGATGAATAAATATATGCGGGTAAAATGCAGAAGAATGAATGAAGTATAGAATCACACGAAGAGGGGTATAGTGAGCGAGTACACTGACAGGATGGCAGGGAAGGTTTGGAAGAAGAGATGAGAAGGGTTTAGTGAAGTCTCGGTAAGGGTAGAAAGTTCTCTGTGAATTCTTGCGGGTGATGATGATTTCGCTTCTTATGATGGACTTTTTGATATTTCATGAAGTGTCGTTTAGTGGGCGGTATGCAAGTTCGACGGCCGCATGTGAGAAGATGAATTGACTTATAGACTTTCCAGTACGACTGATCATGACTAATGAATGAGCTTGATCGACGATAAGTCCTTAGCTAGAAAGGGAAATAATCGATGGTCCACACCACCTATAAAATGAAAAAAGGTTCCGCTATACAAATAGAAAGTCATCGCCGTCATGTGCCTAGCAACTAACGACGAATTTATAATTCATTGTCATTACGGATTTATTCAAGATCCCGCATATTATTCATTACCAATATTTAGCAAAATGTCAAACCCGTCGTCGAGGTTTTGGGATATCAGGTGTATGATGAAAAAATTAAGCTGAAAGTGAAGGATGACAAAAGTTCGTAACGTCCACACTGTAGCGTTGAGAATATTATAAATAAAACATATAGGTAGATATATGGCTCGAGAGTATATTGTTAATACTTTTCGCTTGATTGTGCCTTTTACACTCCACACTTGTTGGGGACAGTAAAGTACATTATGTCCCATCTCCATTACATTTCAGCGAACACCTAATTTAGATTTAAAGGAAATTCATTAAAAATAGTGGTGGAAGTCAAAAAAAGTAGAATAGTTGGAGTAGTCACCCAATACACATACACTCAATTTTTCGAACTAATAGATTAGCTCTACCTACTTCAAACCTGTTAAACATAGAAATATCTATTATATTACCACTTCTAGTTCGAGGAAAAGCACAAATCCCAAGTCCTTTTGTTATTACCCTCAAACCAACAACCCCACCATACAAAATCGCGAGATTTCCCTGCTGGCGCAATGGTAGCGCGCAAGACTTCTATGTAGGGCTCAATCCTATGTGTAATCCGGAATCTTGAGGCTGTTGGTTCGAGCCCAACGTAGGGAGTTACCCTGAGTATTATCGGTTTGAATCCGATGCTTGAAATCTTCCTTTTTACATTTGTGGTTGATTTTTGATGCATTTCTTTGTGTTTTGGAGGGGGGCGTTAGCGCGGTTCTGGGGACACTTTACCCCACCAGCTTTTGGTTAAGTGAAAATTTTTATCGGGTGTGGAGGGGTCATTTTTGACCAATGATTCAGCTGGCTTGTATGATGTCCCGCTATCTCTTATGATCTAATCAATATCAACAAATCAAAAACAGTTATATCCCCTTCCGCACAACTCAAATCCATTAACCCCACCAAAACTGCGTTCTAGATAACACAAGGCGGAGAAAAAGTTCTTTATCACCCCACTAGGCCAATTAGCTTTACATCGCTTAAACTTGGCAAACCCCACCACCACATTTCCATTTCGAAAAAATACACAAAACATATCAAAATTATATAATAAAATGTATACGAGTAACAAACTTCAAAAGGATAATATCTCGAGTGGACTCGAGATCGCAGAATGCGGCTTCTGTGGATCGAACACAGTGCCTCCAGATAAACAGACGAATCTATTACGGTTCCTGAAGTGGACTTCAGTCTGGCGCTCTCCCAAGTGAGCTAAAGCCGCTTGGTTGTGTTTCAATGTATTGATATTGTGGAGATGGATTTTGAATTTATATTTCTCCTGGTAAGAGTGGAGTCGGCTCGGATTCTTGGATATGAGATGATTGGTTGAGTGGGAGTGTTGGTTGTGGATCTTGTTGTGTTGTGTTGGAGTTTATTCTTGGGGTCACACGGTTGCACCTGGTATTGGTACTGACACTGATACTCACTGATGCTGTTTACTCCCGCCAGGCTGGGCATTAAGAAAGGTTACGTGGATTTTGTCATGAGAATCAATCTGTTTCCAGCTATTAACGTCTATTTTGCCCGAAAACTGTTTTGAAGTCACAATCCCGAGGGTTTGGCTACTCCATGTCATTAAAAATCTCTCGTTCAGTATGTATGTTTCCCTCCTTAATATAGTTCACAGATCTATAAACCCTTCTTTATATACCTGCTTCCTCGTTTCTTCCCATCCTTCAATATCCTTTCCGTCAACGCCGTCACTGTATACCCCTCCTTATCTACCGCTAATGCGTCATGTAAGGTATGATCTGAAGCCATCTAATTCCCATGGAAATGCTTCATCATTCACGTGATTGGTATTGACCTCATCGTCAGCATCAACAAAAACAGGTATCTCTCTGATCGGCGGATAGAACAACATATACATGACACTAAAACAACTATACGATATCGTCTCAGGGGATAATTATGATACCTCTTCTCAAAAAGTAACTCGACCGCAAATAAGCAAATGTCATATCACGTGAGTACCAATTCGAGGCTCGATGTCGTTGTTGGAGTGTTACCTGGACTAATTTTGCGGCGCATTCAACTATTGAAGTAACCTAATTTCATGTTATACATACAAGCTAAGATATAACAAAACAATAGTTGCAGGCAGCATATATATCCGTATAGGCAGTTAATCGTAGCCTGGCTGTGGCAACATCTTCACATCTCACATCTCCGAAATGCCGCTTGACAATCCAAAGACTAAATTCAAGTTTTCTTAGTAAACATCATTCGATATTTCGGCCCCATTGTATTTCAAATGATCGTTGCACGAAAAGCCGAAGGGGTATGATGATTCTATGAAGACTTTGTCTGGGCCTTGAGATCATCACAAGGTTGACCGAGCACTCTCCGTAACTCCGAACTTGTTGTGTTTGGTATTGTAATCGTATCCTTCCATGAGGGTTCCAGGTCGGATCCGCGTTATTGATTTGGAAGAGTGACGGAATGGATTCCTTGTAGAGATCAGATTCGATAATGAGAAGAATACTACTCAGTGTATGGAATAGGTTTTTGTTAGCAATATCTGAGTCATTCGTTTGGAGCCATTGCGCATTTATTGTTGGTTTTTACTTGGTGTGATGTAGGAAAAAAAGAGAAGGGGGAACCGAACAACTCCACAGACCTCTGTTATCTCCAAATATAAACTACGTAAAATGACAAGCAAAAAATAGATTATCTGAGCGTCATCGTTTCTCTGATTTCCCCAGATCCTACAACCATAAACCCAGACCAAAAATTGACTGCTATGAACACCTCGCTCAGATAACAAAGCAATGCTTGCAATCCTTCCAGACCGCAAAACCTCAAGTCCAGATCACCACCCTCGGATACCGCCCTATCCTAAACTCATTCTCCGAGAAAGGAACAAATCCAACGGCTTATGACGTCGTCACAACATAACCAAATTTTACTTTGGACAAGAAGAAGAAGAATTTAGATTTGATTGCGAACATATGCAAGAAATATACCTGCTTGTACGCATAAGTAAATTCTTAATTTGGTATTACAGGTGCACAAGCCACTGCTGCAACGTAAGGTAAAACGGGCACAGCGGGAATTCGTCGGTTAGTACGAAATATAGGGTTTGTTTTTAGGTGTTTTCGTGATGCTCAGATGGGCTTAGGGTAGGACGGACCCCAAAATTTGGAATGATAAATAAGGTGCGTTATGCGCATGACTTTTGTTTTATGAGTATATACGCACGATGCTGTAAAAGTGAGAAAATTGAGAGGGGGGTTTATGTGGTGTGATGTGATGTGATGTACGAAAAGTTACAAGCAAGAATTGGTGGAAATTATAATATTCGGAGATGTAGGATTAGCACCCCTTCATTTTTCGCCAATTTATTTTCTCCAGCCTTATCTCCCAACATCCTGAATTACTAATCTCTAATCCCAGAATCCCAGTTTATAAAACATTCGATAATCCTCCTCTTTATCCAATGATTTGTTCCTGGTTGATTACAACTGTCAAAGGGACCCTTTGAAAGGGTCCTCTTCATATAGTAAACTTTCTTGAAATACCTGGCTGATCATGAACAAAACTATATAAAGTATTCGTATCAGATGAGGTGGCATGGGGCAAAAGTGATTATACAGGGGAAGGTTACATATATTTTTGGAGAGTTTTAGTACCTTAGGTAGTGATACCACATGCAGGGTCTGTGAGGGGTGATAATTTAGGCTTTAGGTTCTCCGCTATGACAAAATTATGTGAATTAAACCCTGGTTCAAACGCGGCTTGTGGGCGCAGATTTCTTCTTTCCTTTTCTTTGACTTTACTCAAAGCCGGAGTTACGACGCACATAGAACGGATGGATTGGAGTAAGCACCGGTATTAAAAGTCTAAGTTTTCTTTCGGTAGGTGTGGATGATCTCTTTCGTTCTTTTCTATATTTGATATCATATTCGCTGTTTTATATGGTCTTGAATCTTTACATTTTTCTTTCAAGGCTGTGTGAGAGTAAAACTACGTATTGATATTCCTCTGCAACTCTCGATACCTTTCTACATACATACCATATACATACAGAAGAAAGAAGCCATAAATATTCTCGACATATATATATACCCGACATTCGAATACAACCAAAACATACCAACAATCACGCCTTCAAAATGTCTACCTCACCCGCGCCAAAAACCACCCTCCGACCCTCGAAATTCATCGAAGGACCTCCTCTCACATCCAGAACCCCCAACCTCGCGCAAACAGACGAACAACTCCAAATCATCCTCCTAGAAATGGATTCTTACGAAATCTCACGAAAATCACAACGCAAATCCAAATCGCGGAGTTCATCGAGTAGTTCTTCCAACTCTAATTCCTCGCATTCATCTACCGGTTCTACATCATCGATTCCCTTTTTTACGGGTGCTTCGAAACGAACCAGTCATGATTACTCACCTTCGATTTCTACTCCACATACATCTGCGAGTAATAAGAGATTTAGCGGGGCGAGAGCGAGTTTGGATATGAGTAATCCCTTTACGAGCTCGGAGAGTTCATTGGGAAGGAGTAGGGATAGTACGATTGAAAGTATGAGTGGATCGGGGATTTTGGATGAGGGGCCAATCAGAGATGCGCAGATATTGGGTTTGAAGATTAAAGGGAGATTGAGGGCTTGGAGTCGGGCGAAGGATGAGGGCGTTAGACCCTATGTGAATACTTGAAGTGGGATTGGATGGATGGGATGATGTGAGATTGGAATGAGTTACGAAAGTTATACATCTCATTATGATTGGGGTCATTCGATATGAGGTTATACGGTGGTGGAATCACTGGCACGATAGGATTTGTCTGATAAAGAAGAGGTTATCTCTATGGAAGATGAGTAAAAAAGTCTCACAAACATCAATGTCCGAAAGAAGGGAAAGAAGACGCTGTATTACAGTAGTATGAAGGAGATAGGCTAAGGTTAAATCACCAACGCAGAGCCACGAATGGAGAAGAGGTCCCGAGACGAGGATTTTGTGGAGAAGAAAAGGAGCACTACAGATGATAAGTCGAGATAAGTACAGAGTAGATAGATAGATTGTTGCTTTGACAACAATATCACAGAGACAGTACAGAGTACATACAAATCAATAAATGTAACATTCAAACTAAACTTATATTTGAAAAATCCCACTAACTAAAACGAAAATCCTCAAATCCACAAAAGTACCAATAACCCCGCGCTGATCACAAGACACTAAAATTTCTTTTCCCAACTCATCCCACCTTCTATTTCTCTAGTAAATCGATAATTAAAGCCAGCGGACGATCTAAACGCTTAATGCGCACAAAAATACCCAGGTGACTGATAATATTTGCCTCATGCAGAAGAACTAGCTAATCTCTAATCTAGCCAATCTTCAAGATTGTCTTCCCCGTCCGCGCCTAGCTTCATGCGTGGCCGGTAGTTGACGGTAGTAGGATGGGATGAAACATTTGAAATGTAAGGTTATCGAATGAATCAATATAATGATGAAGACACGGGATGATCCTTAATTTTGGGATTTGGGGATATTATTCGTGTAGATGGTTTATTGCATATACAGTAAGGTTTTGTATTTGTGAATTTTTTAAATACTCCTGTGTAATTAAATAGAAATATTTCTGAATAAATAATTTCCCCCATCTAAATTGAGCGCCCCTCCCCCGCAAACTCCCCAAATCCGCTCTTGGCAATGCACTCGACTCCTAACTCAATATCGCTACCGCCTATCCCGTTTCTCTATTTACTTTTCCTCATCCCGCCCCAAGTTCGCCTGACGTCTCCCCTGTTACGCTGATTTTCATTGGTCTTTCAAATACCACGTCAAATTCCTCATCGGTACCTACCCAATCTAGTTTTTATAGCCCAGTACCCAACCCCACTGTCCCGTTCCCAGACGCCTGGGCTGACATGTACAATTAAAAAGTTCTATCATACCACTAGCGAATGCTAAATGCGCCAAGGAAATGCACAATCAGCGAGTATGAAGAAAGAACAGAAAGTTCTCAATCTTTATAACAATAGATCAATAAATTCCCTCTTCCTTCCACTTCTCAACCCCAGTTTCTAAGTGGAAACCATGATGTATTTTGTAGGCGGTGGAATGGTATAAGACTATTTACTCACTTATATCTTCTATTACCAAAATGAATTGCAATTTTTGGTATAAATTCCAGAAAATGCGTAATCTCCAAACAGCGTTTCTAAGTGCGTTACAAGATGTACTGTCCGCATATTCATTGCTC